AACTTTTTTTCCTTGTCTTGTTACTTATGGGACACCCTGTATAGTATGCATTTTTTTCAAAGCTTCATATCTTAGAGAGAATTTATTCAAAACTTCTGAAATTTTTTATGCAAACTAGTCTAGCTGAGGCATTTATGCAGGCAAAGTTTCAGGTCAAAATTCGAAAGTATCGCTTTGCTGCCAATGTAGGCGTACAATAGAGAAAATTCACTAAGAGCTCGATATCTCCTCAGAAACAAGCCAGAAAACCCGAACTTTTTTTACTATAGACATAGCTCACTATGGGCTACAAGATGCGTGAAACCCCGACTGAAACGCGCTCCGACACCTGGGAAGGTTCCCTTGTCAGATAATCGTGTTCTTTGTTTAAAAAATTTAAATAACCGGGCCATCGTTTTTCTTAGGTGTTTTCATATCAGAAGATGCATTTTTTCACGGGCTTTCTTCTGATGTCATAAAATTTGTGGCACTTCGCCATTTTTGAATCTCACGGGTCAAAATACTTTGAAAAAACGTGAAAAAACTAAGCATTATTTTGTTAAAAGTACACTCAATTGGCTCATTTTCTCCCCATAATGATGTGTCTGATGGGTTGAAAACACATAGATAAATTTAAAAAAGCATGCTCTTTCTTTTGGTAAAAGATAGTACTATGTTAATGCTCGAAATAGTAAAGTGATTTCGATTATACTAAAAAGTACAAAAAAGTGACATTTTTCCCTTATGTCTTTCGACCCTGTTTTCAGTGTGTACCTCGTAATTCGGGAAGAGATCATCAGAATAAGCTCATATTTTGGATTTAATGCTAACTATGTAGGGCCTTTCTTTTAAGATAATTAAATCAAAAATCAAAAATTTTTCTCCAGCCAAATTACCTGGTATTCTGTCGGGACCTCTCTTAAGTGCAATTGGAAGAACTTTCTTGATATATTCAGCATGATCTACTGTTCCTTGGTCGAAAATGACTAATGGTGTAACTCCTTTGGAGCAAACACCAAGCCAGACCATGACTTTTTGAGGAAATTTCTGTCTCATTTTAGGACCACCTTGTTCGTCTGCTTCATCTCGACTAGCAGTCCAAATACGCTGATTCTGGGAATTATATATGCCGTCGAGATCAAACGTTTTTTCATCTGAAAACAAGATGCGCATCGTGTCCTCTTTTCGAAAGTTATTACCAATCCAATTAACGAATTTTTTTCGTTTGTTCTTTTGTTCTTCCGTAAGTTTTGGTTCGATTGTCATCTTGTAGGCATAGAGTTCAAGATCTTTCGTTAATATTCGATGAGCACTTGATTTGGATATGCCATATTCCTTAGCCAAGCGTCGAGTTGTTACCATTTTCTTTCGATCAAGCTTATGTTTCACTTTCTCAATTGTTTTACTGGTTCGAGCAAGACGTGGAGCACCTGAAGATGTTGACAACTGGATGGAGCCAGTGTCACGGATCATCTTACACCATCTTTTGATAGTATTTAATCCCAAAGAACCATATAAATCACGAAAGATCTTACAAACACCATCACCATCTTCGTATTTACGAAAAACTACTTTTCGAAGATCTTCACTTTTCATTTTGTATCGAAAGCACAATAGATTGAAATTAAATAAGAAATACAGATTCTTGTAGAGGATAAAAAGATGAATCTTTTTAAAAAAAATTGGCCCCAAACGGATTAGTTTTGATAAAGATGTCAGCAAAATACTGATGGACCCATTCTTTCTGGGACACTCGTTATAATAAAAATTGAGTTCAATTGACCACTTCTGTTAAACTATCATTTCTTTTTTGTTGGTTTTCTTTAGAATGAATTAGAAAATCGATTACAAAGCAACTACTTTGTTCGACGTAAAACTATTTGGTCCAACAGACTAATTCAATTTGATTTATATAGAAAAATCACAATCAACGACATTTTCAATACCAACAACTTCTCACCATCAATCATTATTCAACTCATTTGTCCAACTTTGTATCCTATCAGTGTTTCACGAATTCTACATTCATTTGATCTTGATATTTATGCTTGTGCATTTGACTCTAAACGAGTACTTATTTCCTTTAGTTGTTTGCAAGCACTGAATTCTGGTCATACAACATGCTATGCAATGCCAGTGACTTACTCGCAGTATATGAGAAGGGTTCCACGTTTACTTAAATATCAACAACGTGGTTTTAATATTCTTTGTCCGAAAGAATTCGACATAAATGCATTTCTCACTACAAGTATTGAAAATTGCAACGAATCTTAATTTAAACGAACATACCGTTTTCGAAGACGCCATTTCGGTGACAATCAAGATTCATTCTGAGTACAGAAAAATTTTTTTGAACATTATAGTTTAATATAAATTCTAAAGATAGCATTAGAAAATCCGATATCGATATTCTACGTATCATATATCAACACTATATCTGAACAAAAATGTTCCTTTATCTACTCTCATTCAGTACAGAGAATGCTTGTTAAACAATCCAAAATTTCTTCTGCCATTCCTGCATTGTTTAATAATTAACAATTTTATTTAGTCACAATCATAAGAGATTCCACATCGATATTCTTAAATGATTATTTATTTCATTTTTGATAGTATATACCTAAGTAAGAAAGAATCAAAACAATTTTCAAATTATTCTACTTTGTAAACTCATTTGAGTTACTAAAATTTTTGTCACATAAATTGATGTCTAAGCCATAAGATCATTATCTAATATAATAATATCAATGCCTTTGACTAAAGTAAATTTATAAAGTCTTTATTTTTCAAAAACAACAAGATTCACGTAATTACACTCTAAGAAAAATCCGTCGTGTAGGAAACCCTTAATGGGTTTCCGAACTTGTT